CAGTGTGCTCCTGCCTCTGCCCGGCATCGCTCCCCTTCCCACCCCTCCTGCCCCTGTGCCAATTAAAAATGCTGCCTAATTGCTGCCCTTCTGCCCTGCCAGCTCAGAGAGGCTGGGCAGGAGCAAACCAGGAGCTCAGGGCTGGAAATGCCAGTGCTGTTCTGGAAGAGGGGCAGGGCAGGACAGGGATGGAGGGTGAGGTTGGGTAGGATGCTCAGGGCTCCAGGAAAATGCCCCTTCCCAGGGTGAATGTGGCAATGGGACCCAGAGCTGGGGCAGACACTTTCCTTGAGCTGCTTTTTTTGGGGTCAAGCCCTCCATTGCAGCTTTTTTCCCATCTGAAAAAGGGGTGAAAAGCTTTTTCTTTTGGGACCACGGGGAAGGCTCAGGGAAGCTTCCAGCCAGCCACACGTCGCCTTCAGCAGCTTTATAAAGATTCCCTGCCGAGATTACTGCTTTCATTTATTGCAAAATATTGTAGCGCCTTCGATGTGTAAAAATAAGGATTGTCCCATCTTATCTCAGAAGGAATGGGGGGGAGGGAGGGAGGGAGCAGCACGTGTCTCTGGTGCTGCTGTTAACCACTGAGGTGCCGTGTCCTGCCACGTTCAGCTTCTCCCTGAGGAGTCCTTGCTCAGGGCTGTGGTGCTGCCGGTGCTGATCCCCAAATTGTTCCTTCTGTGCACCCAGACCTGCTGCTCCCCATCCCCTTCCAGAGCTGGGCAGCTGCCAGGGCAGTGCAGTCTCATGGGCTGGAAATTAAAGGCACAAATTGGCGGTGCCCATGCTCATCCTCCTCCAGGGAAGAGGGAGCCCAGCCAGGGATGTTGTTCCAGCACCATCCTGGGGGTCACACAGGCACCTGGGCTGTGGGAGCAGAATGGAGCTTCCTGCTGTGTGCTGAGGGTCCACCCTGCTCTTCCTGGTCCAGAGCATCCTTCCCAGTACCAAGCATCCTTCCTAGCAGTGAGGATCCACTCTGTCCTTCCTGGTTCTAAATATTCCTCCTGATCCTGAACATCTTTCCCAGGACTGAGCATCCTTCCTGGTCCTGAGCATCATTCCTCTCCTTCCTGCTCCTGGGCATCCTTCCTGGTGCCATTTTGATCCCACAACTGCTTTAACCAAGTTAAACCAAGCTAACCCTACTTAGCTTTCCTTCTCTTCTTTCTTCCCATCTTCCTTTTTTCCCTTGACCTTGTGGGCTGTGGCTGCAGCCAGGGATGGTGTGGGGGTCCCTGGGGACTCCAGGGGTCAGAGGAATGCAGGGGATGCAAGGAATACTGTGCAGGTAGGGGATTTGGGAGATGCAGGGAATGCTGGATGTGAGGGGGATGTGAGTGATGCCAGCAGCAGGCAGGTGGGCACATTTGAGGAGGTTTTGGGAAGGGTTCCTCCCACCTCTCCCACTCTTCCTGGTCCCTGTCAGACATTTTGCCTCATCCTGCTGCTCTGGGCACAGCAGGGCTGGAGCTCCCTGCTCCATAAAGCAGAGATTTATCCCGGACCGAGGCCCCAGCGGGGTCTGGGATTTACATCTGTGTCTGGGACTGGGTTTGGTGGCCAATTTGCTAAAGTAAAAAGTTGTTTAGCTGGAGGCGTAATCTCATAAGCCCGTGCTGCCATTAGCTGGGGTCTCCTCGCTGCCTGGCTTTCCAATAATGCTCCAAGCAGAAGCTCAGAGTAATATAAAAAGCCATCGGATTATTACTGCGGGCGATGCATTTTCCATTTACAGTAATAAAATACTGAAGAAACAAAACAATTTAAAATTCCAATAAAATTCAAACCAAATCTTCGGCTGCTGAGCAGATTCAATTATTTAGCTGTTATTGAGTGCAGGCTGGAAAAATAGAGCAGGTCAGGGAGGGAGGGGGAGCTGGGGGGGTGCCGGACGCATCCCATGGGAATGCCGGTGAGGGAGGGAGCTGGGAGGCAGGGAAACATCTGGGAGGAGGGGCTGGTCGCTGGCAGTGCCTGGGCTGGGTTTAGGGATGGCAGGAGGTGGTGATGGCTGTGCCGTGCACAGGGGATTTCAGGAGGGGATGGACACAAGGACAAACAGCCAGCAACAGTGTCAGGGATGGCTCCCATACTCCAAGTTCAGGAGGGGATGGAAATGGAGGAGAAACAGTGAGTGGCAGTGTCAGGGCTGGATCTGATGTTCCAAGTTGTGGAGGGGATGGACACAGAGGACAAACAGCGAGTGGCAGTGTCAGGGCTGGATCGGATGCTCCAAGTTGAGGAGGGGATGGAAATGGAGGAGAAACAATGGGTGGCACTGTCGGGGCTGGATCTGATGCTCCAAGTTGAGGAGGGGATGGACACTGAGGATGAACAGCCATCAGCAGTGTCAGGGCTGGATCTGATGCTCCAAGTTGAGGAGGGGATGGACAAGAGGACAAACAGTGAGTGGCAGTGTCAGGGGTGGATCTGATGCTCCAGGTTGAGGAGGGGATGGACACAGAGGACAAACAGCCAGCAGCAATGTCGGGGCTGGTTCCGATGCTCCAAGTTCAGGAGGGGATGGATACGAGGACAAACAGCCAGCAGCAGTGTCGGGGCTGGATTTGATGCTCCCAAGTTGAGGAGGAGATGGAAATGGAGGAGAAACAGTGGGTGGCAGTGTCGGGGCTGGATCTGATGCTCCCAGTTGAGGAGGGGATGGACATGAGGACAAACAGTGAGTGGCTTAGTGAGGGCTGGCTCTCATGCTCCAAGTTCACGAGGGATGGACATGAGGACAAACAGCCAGCAGCAGTGTCGGGCCGGCTGCGCCCGCCGGTGCCGCGTGGCTCAGCCGTTCGCATCTCGCAGCAATTAGAGCCCGCTGCAAAGCAGTAATTAGTGCGGGAGCGGCAGCGCCGGCGTGCCGGCAGCCGCCGGGAGAGCGGCTCTCTGTAATTTTCCCGGCGGGGGTGCGGTGTGTCACCCTGAGATGTGACAACACACCGAATTGGTGGCTTGTCACAGCCAGCGCAGCTGGAGCAGAGAGGTGACAAAGGCTGCTGCGGGCACGTGGCGATGGCCTCGGCCAGGCTGGCATCACCAGGCTTGTCCTGTGGCACAGGGCCAGCTCTAAAGTGTCACCTGTAGCCTCAGGGCTTGGGGACAGGGTTGTGGTTATCCCCGTCAGGGAGCCGTGGTGCCCACAGGTGATGCCACCTCCTTCCTCCCTCCTGCAACAGCCCCTTGGTTTTTTAATATTTTTTCCTCAGAAAGGAGCATTTCCATGGTATGGGCTCATTAGGGATTCTGCGAGTGTCACCAGCTAATTAGTGTCATGTTAATTGAGTGTTCACGATGCTGCCACCTCCAAGGACAGTGGTGCTGGCATGAAGGGGAATGCAGATGTGCCGTGCTGTTCCGTGCCATTCCGTGCTGTGCCATGCCATGCCTCTGGGCAGAGGGGTCCCGTTCTCAGCCCCCTGCACCCACTGGCTTGGAGGGTGCCCATGCCCATCAGAGCCCACCATGCCCCCTCAGTGTGCCCTCACTGCCCTGCTGGCTCTGCAGGGGCTTCCCAGAGGCCGGAGGCTCAGTGCCTGGGATGTCCTGGTGCCACAAGTCCTCACGTGTCCTGCCAGAGGGAGCTGCTGGTGCTGCTCCTCCTGTGTTCCGACAGCTCCTCTAAATCCTCCTCAAAGGCACTGGTTTTAATTGGCTTAATACACTCGTTAATAACAATGTCTATTTAAGACACCTGTGAAAAGCCCATAACATCAGCTTAATGGGAGCAATGGCTGGCGCAGGGCTGTGTCCTGCCTGGGCAATTCCCTCAGTTCTCTGATGGAGAGCATGGGGAGCACGGAGAGCAGCCACAGCCTCGCTGCTGTGTCCCCCCTCTGCTGCTGGGAGCAGGGGTGATGTGGACAGTCACAGATTCCAGTGCATCCCTCCTGCTGAATCCTGATTTTAGCCAATGTCTGGTTCATCTGGGCATGTCACAGCCATGGAAATGTCACTCAGAGCAGGACCGGGACAGGAAATCCCCTCACAGGGAATGTGGAATTTACCCAGAGGTGCAGCTCTTCCGTGGTGACTTTGCCACCCAGGATGTGGTGGCGTCAGGGGTCGCTGATGCTGGTGGCATCGGGAGCAGAGTGCTCCAGGTACTGGGGGGCTGAACTGCCTGGGAAGGCTGGGCCTCCCCAAAACCCCCAATTTTACCACCTCTCCTTTGCAAAACCTTCCTCTGGGCAGCCACCAGGTCTGGCATTCCCAGTGTGCCGTAGACATCCCTTGGCAGGGCTGGGAATTTTGGGAACCAGCTGGGAACCAACCATCATTCCCATGTTCCAACGTGTACATGCACGTGCCTGCGTGTGTGTGTGTGTGAGTGTGTGTGGAGATTTTAAACACCTAATTTATTCCTTCTATTAGATAGATTTTGTAGATTTAATCATTTTCACAGTTGGTGGCTCATTGGATACTCAAGATAAACTCCAAATGAAAGTATAATGGGAACGACAAATGAGTTTTCACACCAGAATGGCAGAAACTTGCTCAGGAAAGAGTTTGAAAGGAACAAAACTATATACATATATAATTTTTTTTTCCTGCAGTGGCTTTTGCTGACTCCAGTAGGTTACCACAGTTAATTTCACCAGTTTTGTTCATCTGTAAAATTGCATAAAAGTGACATTTTTGTGCTCATTATAGGAACTGCTGATTTATGGCTGGTAAATGCAATGCTTTTCCATTTTTGGTGAGGTTCTCGTACCAGCGCAAAGCACCCATGAAATTGCTTGTATAATGTAGTTTAAATCCAATCTCAGAGAAAGATTCCCCCGTTGGGTAAAGTGACATTTCCATTCTCCACACCGAGTTTATTTTAGGCCACTTACAAGTGGCTCCCGTCAGCGGGAGGGGACAGCTCGGTGCCGTGACCTGGTTTCTGCCGGGAGCGGGTGGGATCCGCCCTGGGGGAGGACGCTGCTGGGCTGCAGGGTCCCCTCATCCTGGTGGCACTGGATTCACCCCCAGCTTTGCTCCCGCAGGCGAGACGGCCCCCATGCATTCCCCGCGCTACCCCAGCCCCGCCGAGCTGGACGCCTACGCACAGAAGGTGGCCAACAGCCCGCTGACCATCAAGATCTTCCCCACCAACATCAGGGTCCCCCAGCACAAGCACCTTAACCGGACGGTGAACGGCTACGACACCACGGGGCAGAGGTACAGCCCCTACCCCCTGCACGCCGGCGGCTACCAGGGGCTGCTGGCCATCGTCAAAGCCTCCGGCAAAAGCGTGGTGAAGAACTCGGAGGGGAAGCGGACTAAGCTCTCGCCCGCCCAGGTGGGCGTCGCTCCCTACCCCGCCTCAAGCACTTTAGCTCAAGGTCCCTCCTGCGCCGGGCAGCTGAGCTACCACGGCGGCCAGAAGCAGCTGGAGGGTCCCGTGCCCCCCAACGTGACGGTGGCGGCCTCGGTGCTGCCGCTGGCGGGCAGGAGCCTGGCCCTGCCTCCCTCCAACCTGCCCTCCATCCAGAGCATCATCTACCAGATCAATCAGCAGTGCCAGGCGCAGGGTGCCCAGCCCGGCTGCCCGGCCGTCGTGGCAGCCCACCCCAGCCCGGCCAAGCACGGCGCCTTCGGCCCCGGCTACGGCGGCACCGTCCTGCCCGAGTGCCGCAAGGGCGCCGAGCTGCCACTGGGCTCCAACCCGGCCGCCGCCCTGGGACCCAAGGCGGGCGTTTACCCCGAGGGCATGGACTACCTGGTGTGGCAGCAGAAGCAGCAGCAGCAGCACCTGCGAATGTACAGCGGGGGCAGCGGCGGCGGGGGGGCCCTCAGCAAATCCCCCGAGACGTGCGCGGGCGCCTCGCGGCCCTACGGCCTGGGCGGCGCCGCCGCCGACAAGGTGAGCTCGTCCCCCTTGAACTGCATGCACGGCAACTTCGCGGTGGGGCAGTACTTCGCTCCGCCCTGGAACAGCATCCTGGTGACCCCCAACAGCGACTGTTACAACCCCCCGGAGCTGGGGGCCGGGCCCCGCGAGCTGGGGGTGCCCCCGGCCGAGGGGCTGCCCAGCAAGACCCTCTGCAATACCTCCATCCTCAGCAGCAGCCTCCAGTCCCTGGAGTATCTCATCAACGACATCCACCCGCCCTGCATCAAGGAGCAGATGCTGGGCAAGGGCTACGAGACCGTGTCTGTGCCAAGGCTCTTGGACCACCAGCACGCCCACATCCGCCTGCCCGTCTACAGATAAGGGACCGATGCTGCTCTTCCCAAACCCAGGGCGAGGACTTTGGCGCGAGCCGCGGGCACCGGACCGCGGCGGCGAGGGCGGGGGGACAGGGAGGGGGACGCGGGGTCGGCTGCCGAAAGGGCTCCCGGGACACTGGCGTTGCACCGGGGTCCCCAGACTGGACACACCCGCGACCCGCTGGAAGCCGAGGCCGAAGGACCGCTTGTCTATATAGCTCAGAAATCATTTTATCTCCACGAATGTGAACAGGGAATTGCTACGAGTTGCTGCTATCCAGGGAGGGGAGGCTCTGCTGCGCTGGCGGTGCCCAGAGCGGGGCAGAGCCCGGTGCTGTGCCCGGCCGGGAGGCTCCAGGGTGGGTCTGGGAGGCTCCGTGGTGGCCAGGGCTGAGCTGGCAGCTGTCCAGGAGGCTCCACAGTGGCCGGTCCTGGCACGGCAGTGGCTGGGAGGCTCCGTGGTGGCCAGTGCCAGCCTAGTGGTGGCCGGTCCCAGCCCAGCGTGTGGCCGGTGCGTGGCCGCAGGGAGCTGGCGCCTGACCTGTAGCTGAAGTCCGTAACTTGCACTGCTTTGATTAAAGCTAATAACTGGGGACAGTCTGGAGGCTATTTAAGAAAAACACTTGAAAACTTGAACAGATTTTTTGGTTTTTTTAATTTTTTTTTTTTTTTTTAGTTAACTAGGCTGTACATCTATGTGTTGGCTGCTACAGAGTCTCCTCCCACCCCTCTTCCTCCTCATCCTCCTCCTCTCGCCCGGCCCCACAGTGGCCACGGCTCCTATTCCCACTCTACCAGGAGGTTCGGGACCCCCTCAGCCCCTCTCTCCTGGGAACCCCTGGCTCTCACACTTCCAGGCTGTTTTATTTCCTCCCTTACTGTCAGTTCTACCTTGGTTCTGGGTCGCGGTACTGGGGCGCTCACATACCTCCTTTTTTTTCTCTTTTTTTTTTTTTTTAAAAAAAACTAAAACCCAAACAATTCCAAAATTATTATGGTCCGTTATTCACTCTGTGTAATTCTGTGTTTAATAGATTTGTTCATTTACAAAAGGCTCCTCACCACGGAATACAAAGTGTTTTGATGTTTAAAGGTAAAAGAAGAATAATATCCCGATGAAACCCAAGGCGATTGTGCTCGGAAAAGAGGTACTGTATCCCTGAAAGCCTGTTCAAGCACTAAGTGCATTTACAAATCTCTGAGAATGTTTTTTTTTTATACTAAAATTGACCATTATATTCTACTGTGAGAAGTGCTGGCTGCACTATATTGTTTTAAAAATGAGAAAACAAAATGAAAAAAAAAAGAAAAAAAAAAAAGAAAAAAAAAACCAACACAAAACCCGCAAGCCGTGTGTCCGGATGGTGTTTTTCCCAAAGTAAAACCAGGATCTCGCTGGATGTGTGCTCTGGAGTCTCTTTGCTTTGCTGTGGCCTCCCCCAGAGGACACCCCCCTGCTCCCAGAGATTTTTAGGGCACAGAGGAGCACCTATAAATAACCTGTTAACGATGCTGAGCCATTAATCCCGGCACCAGCCTCCGCCTCACACCCAAGGGGTGGCACATGGGACAAATCCCTGGATTAGGGCTGTGGCCTCACGTGCACCCTTGGGATGCCTGTCCCTCATGGGGCAATGGGTGCCAGGGTCAGGCACCGTGTCCCCATCCTGTCACCAGTGCAGGGGGTGGCATCTCTGCTGCCATCCATCACTCCTGTTTCCCACTGGGTTTACATTCCAGGGCCATTCCTGGTGCAGAGGTGGGGTGGGAGCTCTCTGGTGGCCCTAAATCAGACCCCGCTGCTCTGCCCAGCAGCAGCAATCACATCAGGATAATGGGACTGAATCCCAAACTGATCCAGGCTGTGGATGCTTCTCCCTGGACTCTGTGTCCCATGCATGATGGGACACACGGTGTGGCCTTATCCCAGCCAGGGAGGGGACAGGGTGACAGAGGCTCAGCTGCCTTCCGTGCATGACCAAGAGGGTACAGGGATGGGATGGGATGGGATGGGATGGGATGGGATGGGATGGGATGGGATGGGATGGGATGGGAACCAATGGGAACCAATGGGAACCAATGGGAACCAATGGGAACCAATGGGGATGGGAATGGGGACAGGATGAGGATGGGGATGGGATAAGGGTGGGGATGGGATGAGATGGGATAGGGATGTGGGTGGGACAGGGATGAAGATGGGAATGAGATGGAGACAGGGATGTGGATAGGATGAGATAAGAATGGTGAAGGCGATGAAGACTGCGATGGGATGGGATGAGGATTGGGATGGGATGGGGGACAAGGACAGGTGATGGGGACACAGCCACGTGCCTGGAGCTGCCCCATGGCCGTGGCTGAGGCCAGGGCTGGCAGCTCCATTTGCCTCTGCTCTGTCACCACAACAGCTCCGTGGGTATTTATGGCACGCCGGGAGGGGACCTCTCTGTCACCGGCAGCAGCGAGCGGCGTGACAGCCGATCCGGGGAACAAAGAGAAATTGGGACAAAAGGAAATTCTCACAGAGGTTAACATTACTGATGGGGGGGTGCCACTGCCTGCCTGCGCGTTAAAATTATTCCGTCTGGAGGAAGATCTTCGCTCAGATCTTTGTCATTAAAAAGACGCCACATCAAAGGAATGTGAGGCTGGAGCACGGCGGGGCTGCTGGGGGCAGGGCAGCCCCTCCAAAGGGGGACTCTACAGAGGCTGGGGTGCACAGAGCCGTGCTGGGGGCTCCAGGAGAAACTTTGCTCCGTCAGCGGTGCCCGTGGGAGGAGGATTCATTAGCGCTGCCTCCATCAGATTTCCCAGCTCGCCATAAATCAGGGCGAGCGGCTGGGAGCGACGGCGCGATCCATCTTGCAGGTCTCCAAGTCATTACATTTCATTAGGAGGTGTGCGGGGGTTTTTATTATTTAGCAGGTTAATTCTCCCCTCAGATCGCTCCTTGGGAGGAGGATTTCGCTGGGCATGGGGAGGCTTCAAGTGAGGAATGCAAAATAAATGGGTTCCTCCTTGGTGGGTACCCGCTGCAGTGCCAGCTCTGGCAGGTGCAGGTGAGCACTGGGGGACCCAAAAACGTGCACAGACTGGTGGGAGATGGGGCAGAGACACCTGAGGTACAATCCAACAATGAGGATGAAGACACCAGAACCCATTGCCCTCCCATTCTGTGGGGCACAGCACTCACGAGCACTGTGGGAACACACAAGGAAACAATGCTGCTTCTGGCCTACAAATACCTTCCTATTCAAATGATACCAATAATAATACCAATAATAATACAAATTTCTAAGTGCATGAGGCTGATATTAAACTTAGCCTTTGCTGTTTGGGAGCGAGGAGGAGAGACAGGCAGTATAAATTGCACGGCTGCAAAAGGACTTAAAAAAACCCATCTCTCATTTTGATTGATATTAGCTTCACAAATTAAGCTTTAGATTTATCTAAAAATAAATTTGCTTCCACGCTCCGCATTCTGGATGACAAGTGCTTTTCTCTTCCCTTTGTTGGGTTTGTCATCTCTGGCAGGGCGGCGCGGGGAGGGGCGGGAGGGGGCCGGGGCCGAGCACCCCCAGTTCACCGGCCCCCCGCTGCCCCCATCCCCACGGCTGAGGGTGGAACAGCTCCAGGCTTGGTGGGGCAGGGGGGAAAAGGGCCAAAGTCAGTCCCTGGGGGTGGCAGAGGCCTGCTGTGCTGGGATGTCACCATGGTGGCTGTGGTGTCCCCGTCCTCACAGAGCCACCGCAGGGTGCGGAGTGATGGTGCAGGGGCTTGGTGACAGCTGTCCTTCCCACACCCCAGATCTTTTTAAAGCTCACTGGTATGTGGCCTCTTGGCTTTGGGGCATCAAGAGCTGCATGGGAGGGGAGAAAATTGGTTTATGTCTCATTTTACTGGAAAATCCCATCCCTGGTGCTGCAGCCGGGGGCAGCCACAGTGCTGAGCCCATCTCTGGCTGAGTCCTGTTCCAGAGCTCCCCAGCCACCACAAATGGCCCAGCCAGGACTGCCCACTGTGGATCTGTGGCCCCCCACTCGTGTGAAAGCCAAGTTCATTGTTTTCACCCAAGATCCAGCCTGGAAGCAGAGCAGCTCAGCTCCTCATTCGATTATGAGGCAGGAGCCGCCACCTCCGCCTCTCCCAAGGAGTGATAATGAAACATATTCATCCCTCACCCTGGGGAAATACTTAAACCACAATATGAGAGATGTATGTAAATCACATTTAAACGGAGACGGTGCCGTTAACGCTGACGGCGACTCATCAAGTTGGAAGATGAAGTGTCCCCTCTGATGCTAAAGGGTTTGCTGAGAGAGCTGGGCTGTCCCCAGGGTCTCTGCCAGTGCCACCGTGTCACCGTGCCACTGGTGCCCGCCCACGGCGCCTCTTCACACCCACACAAAGTCCAGCTGTTAAAGGAACGCTCACCTCTGCAAGTGGCTGGGAGGATGAGGAGGAAAGGAGTTACAGAGGGGTGATGGATGGGATGGGCTGGGGATGGGAATGGGCTGGGGATGGGAATGGGATGGGGCTCCACGGGGATGGGCTAGGGACGGCCCTGGCCAGGGGCTCTGGCAGTGCCACCGTGCCACTGGTGCCCGCCCAAGGCGCCCCTTCACACCCACACAACGTCCAGCTGTTAAAGGAACGCTCACCTCTGCAAGTGGCTGGGAGGGTGAGGAGGAAAGGAGTTACAGAGGGGTGATGGATGGGATGGGCTGGGGATGGGAATGGGCTGGGGATTGGAATGGGATGGGGCTCCACGGGGATGGGCTAGGGACGGGAGGGGATGGGGTACGGATGTTGTGGGGGTGCGGAGAGCTGGTTTGCAGCAGCCCGGCAGCGGTCACACCCCTGAGCTCGGGGTGCGGGGCCAGCCCGGCCCGGGCTCCCCGCGCCCGCCGGAGCCGGGCCCGCATCGCGCGGTGTGCGCTGCCCTCCAGTGGGGCGACCGTGCACCGCAACCTGCAGCGCATCCCTGCACCGCACCTGTGCATCGTAACCGTGCACTGCACCTGTGCATCATATCCATGTGTCACACCTGTGAATCGTAACCGTGAACTGGAACTGTGCATAGCATCCATGTGTCTCACCTGTGCATTGTATCCCTGTACCGCATCCCTGCACCACACCTGAGCTCAGCACGATGGGTGAGCATGCCCAAAGGCAAGGCACGGTTCGGCATGGTTTGGCTCGGCTTGGCACGGCCGGGGAGCGGGCAGCCCCTCCCTGCGAGCCCTGCCGACAGCCCGGCTGTCCCACCAGGAATCACCCAGCGCCGGGAGGGCACGGCGGTGGCGCGTCAGTCTTTATTACTAAATAAATAACCGTATAAATCTTGTGCAAAACTCTGTGGCAAAACCTGGGCGGGGGCCGTGCTTCCCACCCGGGCCCAGGCTCCCGGCACGGCACGGCACGGCACGGCACGGCACGGCACGGCACGGTGAAGCTGGAGCTCGCCGGTGAGAGCCGCGACCGCGGGCACCGCTGGGGCAGCGCCGGGTCCCGATCCAGGCGGGACAGCCGGGGGGACAGCGGCTGCCGGAGGGGACACGGGCTGCGCGAATCCCTGAGGAGCAGACAAGCACCATCCATCCAGCCCAGCCGCGGCTCCGGAGCCGCTCCGGGAACCCGGGCAGAGTCCATCAGCTGCCGGTGCTGCCGCGCTAAAGCGGGGAGCTCGGGGCATGGCCGTGCCGCCGCTCCCGCGGCTCCGCTGTGCCCACGGTGCCCAGGGGCACCACCACCTCCTCCGGAGGGCAGCTCTTGTTCAGCTCCACCACGCGCGGCACCACCGTCGACCACCGGTCTGTGGACAGGGTGGGAGATGAGCAAAGCCGGGAGCCTGTGGCTGCTCGCCAAGCCCCCAAATCTGCTCCTGGGGCTCATCAGAGGCTGCAAGCAGCGTCGGGGGGGATGTGCCAGCCCAGAGCAGGGCGCTCACCTCTTCGCAGCCGGCCCATGGTGTGGGAGAAGCCGTAGTACTGGTAGGTGTCGCTCTTGCCCGGGTCCTCACTGATGATGCCCAGGTTCTGGTTCCAGTGGGACCAGTTCACTTCGTCCACCCTGTGGGGAAGGTCAGACCCGCAGGGGCTGCACGGAGTGCCCGGGAGCCAGGGCGGGACCTGCGGCACCCACGGCCAACACCAGCTGCCTCCAGCCCGCTACAAAGCACCCAGCAAATGAGCGCACGGTGCCAGCCCCCCAAAATGCTGCTGGGAGAAGCTCAGCTGCCCCCCAGCCTCCGAGGGCGCCCACCTTTACCTGAAGCACCAGCGGCGGTCGGGGGTCCCGTCCGTGCCCTTGCCCACCGTGACCATCTCCCCCGAGCGGAAGGCTTTCCGCAGGAACACTGGGAAGGAGCGCTCGATGTCCAGGATGGTGGTGGCCCACTGCC